AAGGACGTGCATATGCAAGGCCAAAGCATGAGCTGGCCAGGACTGTGGCTGGATTCACTCCCAGTGACAGTCACTAAAATACAGAGACATATATTCTGTGCATAGCAGTCATGGATGCCAGCTGACTGGCTATCAGCTTGGACAGCTCGGAAAAAGGGGTTGTTTTAAAAACCAAAATGGTTCTATGTCATCCCGTTTGCAACCTTTATTTTTAAGATTGTATATATAGATGAAAGGTCAGTATGTGGCCTTGAATGCCCAGATTTTCTGACATGATGCAATATGCTAATTCAGCTCTGCAACCTTTTGGCCTCGACTGCTTTCTTTTTGGTTCTAAACAAGGCTGCTTCTCAGATCAAAATGGATGTGTATGCCTATATCAATTTTAATGAGAAAAAGTATGCCTACTCTTTCCATATCCACCTCTGGAGGGATTTTTTTCTTCCAAAAAAGTACAATGAAATCCTACAGCTAGAAGTGATTCAGAATGAGAGTAAAATTTCCCAGACTTGTTAAACTTAATAACCTGTAAGGATTGTGGCATCATGGACATAACAATTATAAAACTTCAATGCATTTAGCTAATTCTGCATTATAAAACAATATCAAACACAACAATAAATTTAGTTTAGTCATCATTTGTTAGTTTTCCTGTTTAAAAAGCCCAGAGTGAATGATGTGAACCGTCTGTTTTTAACACATCATGTACAGTATAGTTTCAAAAAGACATACTGTGCATCCGTATATAGTATGAACTACTTTTGTGATCTTTGGGATTTTTTACAGCACGCCCACAGTCATTATGTTTAAAAAATGTGCAATAATTCTTCAAAATTATTTAAAATATACATTTATAGTTTTTTTTTTTTTTAAAGAAAGTTGACATAAGTAATAAAATAAAGTGACTTTGCAATTTTAACACTTAGTTTCTAACACTGAACCATTCCTTGTCTAGACCCGATTGCTAACATCATATTTGCTTTTTCTTAGCCTCGTAGCAATGATTGCTGTAAAAGGTCGGGCGAGGTGCACCCTTTTACACAGTTATACATGCATCATCCTGTTTTAACATTTGAGTAACGTGATTATCATGATTATCTTTTTTCTGAAGTAATGACTCATACACAGGTTAGCTCTAGAACAAGTATTAATTTGGCGAATGTGTGCACTTTTTCAACTTAATTCCTTCAATTTTATTGTAAAATGCTACATGCCCTCTCATAGAGGTGTGAATAAGGCCTTTTGACAGATTCATAATAAAACATCCTAGGTCTGAGGCGGTCCCAAGACGCGTATGAAGGAAAACCACCCGCTTAGACGCAAGGTGTGATTATTTGTCTGTTGTATCTCGATGTTGTTTGATACATACTGAACTATTGTCCAGTTTCCGTATTCAGAGGTCAGTTTTCAGAAGCCAGTCAATAAAACCTGTTACCACCAGCAACATACTGAACACATACCCAACACTGTTGTCATCAATGTGATCATATTAAGGTAACGGTTTGTCTGCTGTAAAAAAAAAAAAAAAAAATTCACGTTAAAATTAGCCTTTGCAAATATGGATGAGTTAACAGAAAATAGAAACAACTCCTTACTCATTTAAATTAAAGCATGGCTTGGAGAAAGGTGTATATCCATACTGAGCTTTCTATTTCCAGGCCTGTTATCCATAAAGAAACATTTATTTGTCAGCTGATCCACAGGTCATGTTTATAATCTAAAATGTGAAGTTATATCATCCTCACGAGCAGCCTATGTGTTTTGAAAACAGTCTTTGAGAACAGATTTCTGTGCCTGCTGTTTGACAAGGAGAATGAAATGTGGGGTGAAGTTGACGTCAAATTAAATACTATTATTTACTGATGAAGGTAAACATATGGAATTCAAATTCCCAGAAATTCTCTAAACCTCGAGTTCCTCGTAGGGAATGAAGTAGAGCACATGGTTGCTGGTTGGTGCGTTTGATACGCAGTATGGAATGAGTCGAGTTGCCGGATAAGAAGATTAGCGCACATTAGTAAGACCCTTACAGGTACGTGCAGGAGTCCACAAAACCTGCCAAGAGAGCGTATGGCTACTTGTTCTATCTTTGACAGACTGACTAGGCTGTATTTATGAAGGAGGCCTGCATGCTGCCTACAAAGTTAATACCAAGCGGGAGCTGATTTAAGAAGGAAAAATAATTTTCTAAAAAATGTTAATATTCTTTACAAAGCCAAAGTGTGATCATGCTATTCAAAATGGATTATTAATTTAATAATTAATTACCATAAAATAATATTTTGTACATAAACAGAAGACTGCTGGTCAATCTGGTTAAAGGAGAGGTTCACTTTTAAAAAAACTTTTGCTGATAATTTAGATGTCCACGTCTTTCTTTCTTCAGTCGAAAAGAAATTAAGGTTTTTGATGAAAACATTCCAGGATTTTCTCCATATAATGGACTTCAATGGGAACCAAACAGTTCAAGGTCCAAATGAGAGTTTCAGTGCAGCTTCAAAGGGTTTTAAACGACACCAGACGATGAATTAGGGTCTTATAGGACCCTTCGAGTCATGACTGATTTTGATGAACGAGTTTGAACAGGAGAGTCACGAACGCGCATCACAGAACAGGGCAAGGCGAGCATCTGTGCTTATAAAACTTAAACATTGTTATTTATTTTTTTAAATGACTGATCGTTTCTAGATCGATCTAGATAAGACCCTTATTCATCGTCTGGTGTCGTTTAAAGCCCTTTGAAGCTGCACGGATTCGGAAACTCTCTTTTGGACCTTGAACCATTTGGTTCGCATTGAAGTCCATTATATGGAGAAAATCCTGGAATGTTTTAATCAAAAACCTTAATTTCTTTTCGACTGAAGAAAGAAAGACATGGACATCTTGGATGGCATGGTGGTGAGTAAATTATCAGCAAAAGTTTTTTTTTTTTTAAAGTAAACTACTCCTTTAAGTCATTATTTCAATTATTAATTACACCCAATACTATAGACATACTGTAGTCCCTGAAGTTTCTGTTGCTCTTCAAGCCTGCATTTATTTGATCAAAAATACTGAAAAAAAAACAGTAATATAGAAATAATGTTATAATTTAAAATAATGGTTTAATATACTTTAAAATATAATTTATTTCTGTGATGCAAAGCTGAATTTTCTTCAGCCATAATTACTCCAGTCTTCAGGGTCACATGATCCTTCAGAAATCATTCTAAAATGCCGATTTATCAGTGCTGGAAAATACACATAGAAAACTGTTATTTTAAATTGTAATAATATTTCAGAAAATTACTGTTTTTATTTTTTATCAAATAAGGCTAATATTTTATTTTTTTATCTAATGAACATAAGAGACTTCTTTCAAAAACATTAAAAATAGTAATATTTCCAAACTTTTTACTGGTAGCTATATAATATAATATAATATATATATATTATATATTACTAGGTAATCTAATAACTGTATTTAATTACTTTTCCCTTAAAAAAAGTACAATGAGGGATTACTCAGAATTTTTCTATAATTTAATATATATATATATATATATATATCCATAAAAGTGTGCATAATCTTATATAATACCGTTATATATTCTCATTTGAACTTGAATTTTGGTATCTTCCTGCATTTGTTTCAGGACTTGATTCACTTTTACGCTCTTCTGAAGGCTTGAGGTGACGGACATCCTGGAACTGTCTCCCAGGTTTAAAACATTCATGATTGATTCATAATTGTTCATAAATGTCTGTTTTTGTTTTCTTTAGAATATCAAAGGAATTTAACAATGCGACAAAAGGTGCGCACTTGTAACTTGTCGTCAGTTTTTTCGTATTCATCTGTAGTTTTGCCAATGCGACGTTGTTTCCTGCTCTTCCAGATTGATTATTTTGTTTGTGCGATAAGCAGATACTTCCCCACCAACTCAAACAAAACCTCTGTGTTGTAATGAGTTGTTACGCATTACCCCCCTCTCATCTCTTGTTTTCCCACGATCCAAAGGGAATTGTCTGTAGGAGTGAGACACAATCGCTCTTTGAGCTTCTCTCCAAATACTTCTTCAAATCTGGTGGCGTAATCACTGATTTAGTATAATGGGTCACTGAATGGTCTTTGGTACTGCAGTTTGAGGTAACTCATGCCGCACAGTTACCTGGACACCCGTTTCTTCTCTGCAGGATATGCCTTTGCCACACAAGCCTGATATTTCAAGACAAGTCCTTATCTCCCAAAATCTTTACCTTATGATAGTGGAGTGGATCTGGTGATTAGTATTTATTTACTAACCTCTCTAGAATCTAATATGTAAAGCAAATAAGTGAGTTTGTAAAAGAGTTGAGAAATAATGCGAGTTATTAAAAACAAATATTGGCATTTCCAAAGTGCTTTTCGCTCTCTGATTACCCAGACTTTTCTGTCGCCAGATACTATTGTTTTCATTAGATATCAAAGGAATAAGACATGAAAGGTTTCTTTCTATTTTGAACATGTTGGAAAGATTGTTTTCTTCTTCTTACACACTTCCTTAATCTCCCCTTGAAGAAAAACATTTTTTTAAGGATCAGAAATTCACTATCAAGCACTTCATTTTCAATATGGACCGCTCACAACGAAACTGTCTTTTCAAGAACATTTATTTTGCTGTGTATTTGCCAAATATCCTTATTAAGTCATATAACTATTTTGTTATGAAGAAAAGAAACACAACCATAATGACAGCATCGTTTGAAACTGAGCTTAGTGAACAGAGTTTAGAAAATGTGATACTTTTTTGTAAAAATAGTACAAAAAAGCAGACACTACATTTCTCCAAAAACATAGCTCATAACCATCTCGCCACAGAAATGTACTTGGTTGATAAGACTGATTTCTGGTGATGTGTTATAACGCTATTTTGCCCATTCATATACTCTATATATCGTAATTCCCCATTAGCCAATCACAGAGCACATTTCCATTCGAGCCTGCCCACCTCACTCTCGGTATTGTTGCGTCATACATATTAACCAGGAGAAGCAGGACAGCATCTCAGTCTCCCCGGGTCGAGCAGATAACTTTAGGTTTCGAGAAATAGACCAGATACGAAAAAAGAGGAGAAACATCTTAAATAAGAGGGAGTTATCAGAAGAAGTTCGTGAGAGGCATCTGAAAGCATTTACTCGGTCTCCCTCTGAAGCTACATCATACTTGTCGAAGCTGCATTTAACGTTATAGCCTACAACTTTTTTTATTGTTACTTTTATTTACAAGTCGACTTCTGAGGAAAACCGAGGAAAAAGAGGCGAAGTTCCAGCTGAGTTAACGTGCGTCGATACGTCATCGAACATTTGACAAGACGTGATGGAGGGCGAAAAGGTAACTAAAAAACTATTTTCCCCGGTCACATTACAAAAATAAGAGAGAAAACTTAATAAAAAAGTATGTGGAAAATGGTATTGGTCAGTATTGATATTTCTGTGTGTCTAGTTTAGTTTTCTGAATGTCAGGCATGCATAACTTACACGTCAGTTATTAACGTTAGCCGTATAGCTTCGCTAGCCTTCATTTCGAGCTCTGAAATTGTGAAAAGTTGACAAACTAGTTTGGTGACAAAAACCAAAATAAACCCGTACCACATGTTGAGAGATGACACATGGGTAGCCGAGCTGTGATGAGTTAACATCAGTGTGTTACAGCTTCCTATAAACTGGAAAGTGTTAATCGGAGTCAGGCAATGGGGGAACTCGTTTGTATAAAAGAGAGAGGCTGTGTTTCAATTCAAAAAGCGAGTACGCTGCCAACATAGACAACATGTGGACGTAGTTGGCTTGTTCGCTGGTTATGTCTCTAAAGCACAGTGAGATGACTGTGTAGACAGCGTCTGTAGGTATCATTGGTGGCTCCTGAGCTGTGATGACCAATAATGTTGTCTTTTGTTGGAAGCGTACTTGAGAATCGTGGTGTACGTGCCCACTTAATTCATCGGTAGCCAGCTCTTTTCTTTTCAAATTTAGTACTTTATTGGCATGATGTGTTTAAATACAATATTGGAAAAGCAGAACAAATAAATTCAATATACTATTCTTTATATACATTTTTTTTTCTTGTACGAAAAGATTTTGTTTTCATAATGATTATAATTATGAAAGTGTTTTGGTAATTATAAAAAAATACATGCTATATATATATATATATATATATATATATATATATTGGCATGAAACACATCACATATATATATACAAATATCTCCTCCAAACAATATCATTATGAATATTAAGTACATATATGACTGCATCTTATTGGCTGAGTTTACCTTAAAATAACCTTCAAATTCATCAGTATGTTTTAACTGGAAAACTCCATCTCATTTTTTTTTTTTGGCACTATTTAAACTAGTGACTAATACTGAGCTAGAGATTAGTACGTGACTATAGAAGGCTGTTGTATGGCTAACCTAACCACAGATGCATGATCTGCGTGATCATCACCCATGATAGATCAAGTGTCTTTCAGATTTCTTAGAGCTTAGAGACTTTACAAGGTATTGTTGGTTGATTTTATTTCCTTTAATCACAATAGACAGAAGCAAATCATATAAACAATCAGAATGTTTTAGAGCAAAATGAATTAAATTTAATGAAAAATGTGTGTCTCATGAAAAACCAAAACCAAGTGTACAACTCTTCATGAGAAGAAGTTTTGGTTTTATTTTTTGGTCTTGGTTTTATTTTTCAAGGCCGACCAACACAAACCGAGGCATTGGGGGGAAAAAAAAAAAAAAAAAAAAAGAGTTGTACACTTCATTTTGGTTCTTCATTTTGGTTTTTTTAACACAAACCGAGGCATTGGGGGGAAAAAAGTGGTGGCGAGACCACTTTCCTATATATATAGGACATATTTTTTATGTCACTACAAGTTCGATTAAATGAGGAAAATTTTGTATTTTTTAAATATGAAGGAAAAACACTAAACTTGGTAATGGTATTTTTCTGACAAAACTATTCTGTAAATAAAAGGCAAACTACACCTAGGTTTATTTTACTATGCAAAAAAAGTGCATATAAATACAAAAAGCTCACAGGAAAAAGCATACATTGACTACAACATAATCAGTTATTAATATTTTGTTGGTTCTCTTTTATTTTGACAGCCTGGCCAAAAATGATGTCTGCACAATTTAGCACGTTTCATTGCTTTATCACAAATAAAACTATTATCTCCAAGCCCAGCTAAAATGATTACAAAATGGTTAACATATTTTTAATAACATTTTAATTAATGTCAATTTTCCTCGGCCGGACATCACTTTTGGCCACTACTGTATGTCTAACATTAAATTTAGCTGTGCATTATGGTTTTGCTGATTTAATCTAGTTTTCGGTTGACGTGCTGGGAATGATGGAGCTGTCCCTATGGAGAGGAAAGCTGCAGCTGGCTTCTATCTAGGGAACACTCAACATAACCCTGCCAGAGAGGTTGTGTTCTTGACCCGTTCCCAGCACACTGCCTAGTGTTTTGGCTGTGTTGTACAGCGCTCTTCATTCATTGTGCACTGCGTGTGCCTCGCTAATACCAGAGAAACGTACACACACATTGTTGGTTGTTAAGACAACCCTCGTGCTTGGGTTTTTCATTCCAAACCAGCTTCTGGTTTTAAACGAGTGTGAAGAGTGTATGCTTGTCGGAAAGGTTTTAGGATCTGTTTACACCTGCACTCTCAGAAAAAAAGGTACAAAAGCTGTCACTGGGGCTGTACCTTTTCAAAAGGTACACTTTTGTACCCAAAGGCTGCATATTGGTACCTTAGTGGTGCATATTATCACATAAAATGTACATATTAGCACCTAAAATGTATTAGTACCTAAATGTACATATTAGCACCTAAAATGTACATATTAGCTCCTGAAATGGACATATTATCACCTAAAATGTACATATTAGGACCATAAATGGACATATTAGATCCTGAAATGGACATATTAGCACCTAAAATGTACATATCAGTACCTAAAATGTACATATTAGCTCCTGAAATGGACATATTATCACCTAAAATGTACTTAGCACTTAAAATGTACATATTTAGTACCTAAATGTACATATTAGCACCTAAAATGTACATATTATGACCTAAAATGGACATAATAGATCCTGAAATGGACATATTACCACCTAAAATGTACATATCAGCACCTAAAATGTACATTTTAACACTTAAAATGGACATATTGGCACCTAAAATGGACAAAAGTTTACCTTTTGAAAAGGTACAGCCCCAGTGACAGCTTTTGTACCTTTTTTTCTGAGAGTGTGGTATTATTAAGATACGTTTTGGTTGATCTGATCACAAGTAGACGAGGGAGACGCGTTCCCTGGCTAGCGTGCTTCTCATGATGTTTACGCATTAGGTCAGTGGGCGGAGAGTAGATGTCTTTTTTGGCTGTTCAAACACTTTGACCACTCTACAAAAGCAATCCCGTCGAATGCGTTTTTGACTACCACTGGAAGTGGTCGAAAGTGGACAAGCTCAAAAAGTTGTAGAGCTCAAAAAGTTTTACACCTGTATTTAGCGTTGTTCACTTTTGTGCATCGTAAGGTGTCAACAGGGCCTTCGATTTTATGCCTGACCATAAATCATTCTTGTATGAATAGGCAGCATTGCCACACCTGTCACTCACCTGTCAGGTTTTACACTGGTATTTGTGTAGGAGGACAACTTTGTCATTCTCTCTTTCTCGCTTTCATTTCATTCCTCCTAATTGTTCTCCTGATACCTTGGTTCTTTAAAAACAAAAAGCAACTGCCCAGTGAGCTTTTTACGAAGGCGCCACCTCCTAAGAAATTATTGGTTTCATACAGTCTTCCAAAGAGTCATGTGGCATGTCTAATGATCTACAATGAATTCTATTGAGCTTTAGGCATAACCAACATTGATTATTTCCTGGTAGAGATGGAACGATAAAATAAAAACTCAGAGTTTGTTCTTTTAATGGTTCCTTTCACCAACTGCTAAACCACACACACAGTTTTTTGGGACTGGCTGCTAAGGATAAACAAACTAGATAAAGGCATCTGAGTTTTTCATTTGAGACATGCCTTTATGTCTTCTTACCATCATGTATTGGCTATGAAGGCAGCATTTTTCAGAAATGTTTCAGGCAGAATTTGTACATGGCTGAAAACATGTTATTCTGTCTAATCAGTTCAAAATGTTGAAAATTACAGCTGTGGCCACAAAATCAGGTAATTGGGGGCAGGTGTACAGTTGACCTGTACTTCATCAAGTGGAACTAACAAGCTTTCTGCGCAATGGGCTATATGCACGCATAAATTCTGCATTTGACGTAAGGATGCTCATCCATTTCCGGTTGTGTAGATTAAAGCGGAGGAAAACCGAGGAAAACGGGATTATGGCAGAGTCTTCAAAATTTACTGTCCTCCAGTCTTTGAAATGAAACGTACATACGTTTAGATGTAATTTTATATATAGTTATATTTATTTAATATAATTTTAAAAAGAAGCATAAACACAACGAGGGGTGTCTGTTTTATCTGTTTTTGTGACTAACGTTTCGTTAGTATAACCATGGAGTATAAAATTCAATATAAATTCTCGGTATTGCATTGGACTCTACAATCGGCGGAAGTTATCGAGCATCCCTAATGCGTCACCGGAAATACCGCCGTGCATAGAGCCCATTCTCAATTTGCAAAGAGACATTTGGAGAAATTGATTAAAGATTAAACCTAAAGCAAACTGTCAGAAGACTTGATTCTATTTTCCCTTCTCAAGTCAGGCTGTTCCTGTCATTTCAGCCTAATGGGTGCTAATAAAGGGATTTCTAAGGGATTATGGAACGATGGAATTCCAAGTGCCATTGAGGTAATTTATTTCCATGAAAAATCAAGGGGCGAACCGGTGCTGAGCTGTAATTGTTAATCCGAGTCGTTTGAAAGGGAGAGCAGAGTTTTTGCTTGAGGTCATTTACTGTGGGTTACATAATATTGTTTGTAGTGTTAAATCCTGCTGGGGTTGTGTTACAGTAAAGGATAGCGTTGTCAGCACTGTAAAAATACAGAAATGTGTATGTTGACGTCTGTTGAAAACACTTCAGTGGAGTTGTGAGTGGCTTAAACCATGTCATTAGTGGAGTGTCTCCTAGACTTTACTGATCTAGAAGCTGGCAGATAGATGCTGCTTGAAAAGAGAAGGGGGACGACGTGCCAGTCGAGTGAGAGAGGCAGAAAGAGAGATCTTTGTCTAGTTTGTTGCAAAGAGTAAGTTTGAGTAAGCTCTTATTGAGTACAAACCAGACAGCTTCTCTTGAATATCTAAAATATCTTAATGTCTTTGCATTAGATATAGAATGTCAAACCTAGGTGGCATCTACAAAAAAAGCTACATTTCTCAGATCTAGGCTAACCTTCCTTTTTTGAGTTTGTTTTGCAATTACTTAACCACCTAGTTTTTTTGCAACAAGTCAGTTCCGACAGTAGGCCTATATTTGTTGTTTTATCATTAAAAATAATTATTTTATTCTTTAAAATAATTGCCACTTGTTTTTGAACTTTTGCTATCTGGTGCAATGATGCTTATAATTTATAACGCCCCGATAGACTCCTTTTGCTTCATTCAGGGGTAAAACGAAGTTCAAAATATGTGACCAGCGATATACTGTTAGCGAACATCTGACGCCTCTGCGTACACCTACCAATTATGTAATCGCCACAGACCAATGGTAGTACAAAGGTGTTTACCAGTTTACCAGAACTTTTGGGGAAAGTTTGCTTTGGCAAGCTGTTTCGAACTCCCACAACAAACTTCTTTTTGGCTTGATTTTGTTCGAAATTATCTCATATCAAGGCCTCGAATTAGAGCCTAGCAATAGTTAACAGTTAAATAAATAAAGGAATAAATTGATTGGAAAATCAGCAAGTACAAGCACAGTAAATGATTAGTCCGGCTCACGATTATATGATTAAACTGATGTAAATAAGTAGCGACAGTATCCTTTAAGTTGTGACAGTATCCTAGTTGAGCGTGTTTCTTGTGAACTAAAATTGGTACAAACAATAAAGCATTTTATTGTCACGTACACATTCTTCATGTGCATATAATTGGCAAGTGGAATCAAATAAGTAATATTCTCAGTTGCTATAAATGCGTTTCTGGCAGAATGTCATGCTGTGCCATTCAGCGTACTTTCTAAGAACAGGTTTAATCAATGTCAGTCTCACTGCAGTTTTCTGAGTACGTACGTATTTGTGTTCTCTTGTTGTTGAGACGGTATTTTAGTACATCACAGTACTCTTTTTATCAAATATGAAATATGATTTTTTTTGGTTACACTTTATTTTAAGGTGATGTAGTTACATTGTACAGTACTTGCTTCTTAAGTACTGAGTTACATTAATTAACTACATGTATTTACTATATACTTGAATTTATGCATAATTTACTGTTATTGCTTTGTGTAGTGTATTAACATATAACTACGTAACGTCACCTTATAATAAGTGTTACCTTGCGCCTTTAGATTTGATCACCACTGAGCAAAAAGTGAATCAAGACATAATATTTTGCAGAAATTGCAGAACAGATTTCAAATAGTTTCCAGACATCCCTGTAATGAAAGTTTTGTTACAAAAAATGATTGGAAAAATATTTTCTTATAAACGTTTTTCCCCCTACAAATAAGTTAGAGTCCAGAATCAAAAGGCTTTTTAGTGTTTTAAGCAATGTAAAGATCAACTCAAGTTTGTTATGTAACTCTGAGGGGCCCAAAATCGAGAGGGATAACAAGCCTCTGAGCTTTGCTATGAATAGTGAGGTTTATTTGCATGTTAATTTGGTTGCTCCAATAGAGCTGGCGTCCTGTTGCCTGTGTTACCGAGGCATTTGTTTTTGCATTTTTTTTTTACAGGAAGTCAACAAGGTTTTTTGCTTATACTGTGGATATTATGATAACATTTAGAAAAGTCCTTTTTATTCTTATTCAAACTGTTAAAAAAAAAGAATCCTAAATGTAAACCAGTACTCTGACACAAAGAAATAAGCACTGAGCCGAAATATGCGTCCAAGTCAACTGTCAGTGTGTGGTATTAGCTGAAGGGCGTGACTATTTACGTTGTGAGCAGCGTAGATTCAGGATGACGAAGCTAAAAAAATTATGTAACCATTAAAAATTGTCACACACACACACACTAAACTTCATAGATAGTGCCAGGCCAATGTTATATTCTGGATGAACTGTGTTTATGTACAGTGGTTGCAGGAATGCAGTGTGTAACTAGGCATGTCTACATGGTAATATAGGGTAAAGGCAGGAATCTAAAGAGGAATGTTTCATAGCCAAACATACGCCCTCCCCTCGAGTAAGACTTAAGTCAAATCTTCCATATTTAGAAGGTTCATCTTTCTTAAAGAGATACTAGCACTCTGCTGTGTCTGTTCTGAGCAGTGTTTTCTAACAGCATTGATGTTTTAGCAGCAGGAAGGATGTAGTTAACTTCTTAGGGAAGTCAACTTCACTGAGGATTCTGTTTATTGCCTTTTCATTTGTGTGGACTTGTGTGCGAGTTTGACTGGATTTTGGTCATTTGTAGGTTTTAAACTACAGAACGAATATTTAAGTGCCTTCTAGAGGTTTTGGGTTTGTGTGTATTTGGCCTCCTGCATGTTTCGAGGCTGGTTAAACAACAAAGTCTTGAACTCTATGAACTGCAGCCTCTACTACACAACGGAGGGAAGGCGTGCCGTGTCCACTTCCTGCCCCCTTTAAGCTCTTACGTCTTCGGCAGAGGAGTGTGCGCATGTGTGTACAAATGTAAGGAGAGCACATATCCAAAACTGGTATATTTCTCTTCTCATCGCTGACTGTCTGTTTATAAAGGAGGAATGCAAACTGTGTAAACAGATCTCCATTCTGAATACATTTTTAAGTCTTATCGAGCTTGCTAAAATGCAGAACAGATTGGCATGTAAAGCTACTTTAACAAGATCTTTTTCCGAAATAAATACTGTATTTTATCCCATCTTATTATTTAGATACAACTCTTTAAGTAATAATGTTGTGGGTTGATTCCCTAAAAGGAAACCAAAATGGCACTATTTGTGCTGAAGTTCATCATCAGATATTCATATTTGTTAAGCTGTCAAAGGCTTGACGTATGCGTCAAGTGACTGTTTAAACAGTGAACAATGTGCTTTAGCTGAGCTGAGCTAAACCGGTTTTAAAGCTGCCTGTGTCTTGTGGATGGGTAACCATGTGAAAGAAAATGTCCATCCCAGGTCCTCTCTGGCTGTGTAAATAAAAATCCAATCCAGTGAGTTCTAAAATAACAGAAACCCAAACAATGATGATGCTGTCTTCACTGGAGAAGAGGGTTTACATAAACCCTTTCTTTATAGGTGCCGATTTAACCACTAGAAATCTCCCCTTAAAGGTGCCATCTAACATCATAAATCAAATCCTACTCCATATTCCATAACAGATGGGGGCAGTATACCTCCAAAAAATGACTTGTGCTCCTACAATCGCGCATGTTATTCAAATCATTTGACATGATAGTAAAAGGTTGGAAGACCGCAGTTTCACGTGGAACATTTGGAGATTTTTAGAGATCAGAGACTCAATGAACTAAACACTAGAGTGAACTAAACTAAACACTATGAATCTCAACACTAAATGATGAAGACCGCCTCATAGATCTCAAAAACAAGCTGGTGCATTTCGACGGTATGGGAAAATAAAAGCTTGGGCAATTATTTGAAGTTTACGGTATTCGTTTTGTTCATATTACACTTTTATTGTTAGTGAATTAATTTGACAGACAGCATTCGCTGATGTTGATCAAGCTAGCGCCGTGAATTCACCGTGAGACACACGCAATTGACACTTAGCAAGCAGGTTAGTTAAGCTCTCAGATTCTGTCAATTATATTACGCAATTCAAAGAATAAATACCGTTTTGGCGCTTGTACATGTTACACTACAGATCCCTAGCGCACGTGAACCGATCGTCTCTACTAGCTGGAAAAAGAACACGAACACTGGTGAAAGATACAGTATGCTACAACTTACCAAAATGTATTCCTCATGCATAATGTCGACCAATCATTTTTTGAACTCTTCCCTGAACTGAAATGTAGTAATTGGCTGTATTTCCACACGACTGACATCAGGTTCAAGTACACATACACACACACACACACACAAGCCGGCGCGAGCGCGACTCACTCGTCTATTGCAGTTTGGCTGGTGCTAACGTTGCCCGTCCGCATACCGCCTCCCATGGCCGGAACTGGTGTTACGATACCTGCCGGGCCGGGGCTAGTAATTTAGCATGCTAATTCAGGTTAATATCTCGGCAGCACTATAACTTGTCAGTTTTTTAATGACATCTTTGCACTTATTTCTTCTCATTCTTTTGATGCGTGTAGCTCATTTTTCGTATATTGTTACCTCAATTATTACATATGGCACCTTTAAGTCGTCCAGTAGGCCTGCATCATAATCTTTTACAAGTTCAGGTTCAGTCACTGTAGTTCACCATCAAGGCTTTGTGTGTTGCAGACAGATTTTGTCAAACCAGACAGTCTGAAAACAAACATACTTCAGGAATGAGGAAAGTGATTTATATTCGGAGTACTTCCCTGTGAGATATTGAAATATATCCCACAAATCTGCAGAAAAATAAACTAAACCTTTCAGGAAGTCATCTGTGTGAGAGAATACATTCTATTGTGTTGAAAGAGAAGGAAATGCTTGTCATTTTGTGCAACACTAATCTTTAATGCCCCACCAGAAAGGGGGGTGATGCTGGATATTTAAACAATATAATTCTTTTGGGAGTACAGAAGATGATATATAAATATGTTTGGTTTGCTCTTAACCTTTTAGATCAAAGGCCCTCGTTAAACTAAGCCTTGACTCAGTAATTAGCGCAGGTTGGCTAAAATGTGGAGCTGTGGTACTGGCTTTCATTTTTGAGGAAGGACGGAATTAAAACGAGCTCTTCAACTACCATGACAATTAGCAGAATGTCAAACAAAAGGTCACCACACCTCTGAGAATAGTTCTGTTTAATGCAGTCAGGTCTGGCCAATCATTGCTTTAGGCCCGAGGGTGATTGGTTGTTTCAAAACAATTCATTGTGTAGCAAAAAATGACTCACTCTTCTTCATTTTTTTATGCTTTCCTCAACAGAAACTGACCTTGCCGCTGATGCTGGCTGTGGGGACGGCTGTGATCGGCTCACTTCAGTTCGGCTACAACACGGGTGTAATCAATGCCCCGCAAAATGTGAGTGACAAGTACACGCTCCCACAAACACAAAGTCGGAGTGACAAACTCTTTAATGTTCACCCCAACATCCCACGTCCTTGTACTTTGACTTTATCGGAATGCTACCCCTTCACTTATTTATTATGTACTGCTGCAGCTGTGTCCAAATCCCTGTCTGTCAGTAGACACACACACATACACACTCATGCCAACGCAAGCTAAATGCCTAAGTTACTCTATACAGCTCCTCTGGGACATTTTGCCTTTCATCTACATGTTATTAGTCAATTTGCATCTGTTAAATGAGAAGCTTTTGCCTCTCAAATGAATATTAAATTCTCTGTTCTGGTACTGGGTGAAGGTCATCTCACACATAGCACAGCTTGTTTAGACGTGCATGTTGAACTAGGGGCCAGGCTTTGCTTATGTGAAGTGAATGTGTATGTCTAAAAGACAGAAAAGCTCTTGTGTATAGTTTCTATATTCTCACTTAAGCCAAGGACACGCTTAACGACTGTAAGGCCGATTATGAAAGTAAATTTGATACTTATGACTGATCATGCCAAAATGCGTTGAGTCATAGACAGTTGCATTCAGTCTGCGTTTTAAAATCTGCTCTACGTGTATTCAGTTACAGTGTTTTAGTCAGTCTTACAGTGTTTTAGCTAGTCGTTAAGTGTGTTTTAGCATTAGAGAAACCAGAGCAGAATTTGATCTTACACACACACACACTTTAAAATTGAACGTTTTTCAAAGATTGTTTCTCATGCTCACCAAGGCTGTTTATTTGATCAAAAACACAATAAAAACAGTTAGTATGAAATATTATTGCAAAAAAAAAAAAAAAACCTGTCAAACAGCGTCATTACTGATTAATTAGCATTATAATATGCTAATTTCGTGCTTTCATTCTCACAGCTAAATATTTAATCTAGATGGTGATCTATATATCTATATATTGGTTTTCAGCCAATATTAGCATTTTTTTTTTCTTGGTATTGGTCAATAATAGACGTGTCGGCAATGGCATCCATATTTAAAAACAATCTTTAACGAGGCTCAAAATGAAAACCATTTTTCACAATATTATTCATTTTAATGTTGTGATGCACACACTTGTTGCATTTCATTTATGCATTTAATAAAAAAAATTAGGATTTAGAATTTTTTTTTTTTAATTTAGACAAAATAGAATACAATTTTAACATTGGCCATTTATCTGCCTATTTTTATTGGCTAGAATTGTATAATAGGTGCATCCATAGAGTTTTAACTACTGAAATACCAACAAACTATACACACTGGCCTCTGGTATTGAATGGCGTGTTTGCTTTCACTGTTTGTGTTGCTAACAGTATTGGTATAGTTTTAGTGCGTGAAACAGTTTTAGGGCCGTGGTTAGGCCAAAATAGGACTAACGTGTGTGGGGGTGTGGGTCTGACGTAGACCCTCTCTATAAATAATCACTTCGATAAGATTACCTCAAGGGCTCCTTGTCTGCAGACCTCCCTTACTGACACTGCACCAATCACCAAAACTGTACTGTGTTACAATGCACTATCTATCCTGAAACTCCTCTATGAATGGACTGTATTATTTGTGACCAGGTGGCTCTTTACTGCGCTCTACAATGTAGGAGTTTTATTCAGATAATGAGTAGTCAGCCTGATTAAATAAAAATTGTCGTCAGGTCTTTTCAAACTCATTTGACTTTCATTTGTCATACAATGACAGTGGATTGGAACTGGGGACCGCTTTGGTCATCTTTTACTTTTACTAAACGTAGTTTATAAAGGCTGTTGTCTTTTGAGTTTTTTATAACCAATTTAGCTCAAATAATATTACATTTCCATAAAAAAATAGGTTTGTTAGAAACCAGTCAACTTGCACAGTGAATACAACCAATAACTAGAATCACTCCATAGCTCACCAGTGGTTCTATTAAAAACACCACAGTGTTGTGTAACAGGTTCGTACAATGAGAGGTTAAGGCATATAAATGTAACTAAGCCTGATATTTAGGTGATGAATGCACTGAGGGGCTTTCTGCGTGCCTAAAGGGTCAGACAGCTGATGGCGAGAGAAGACAGGCAGGAAGTTAGTTGTAGAAGACTGGCTTGCTGACCCCTATACATCAAAAGATCATACAGATCAAACGTATTTTTATTTTTTTATATGCAACATGTCATTGGGTGACATTCCTCTAAAAGCCACCAGTGCTTTATAAGGGTTAGCAACAGACAGTCTCTGTTTATCAACAAACACTTGACACAGAGATACCACAGAAACCTGACTCCTGTGAGTCTCACATTCCATCATGTTACCTAATACTGAGCCAGGTGGTGAGTCCCCTACTGGACACAATTGCTCATCACAGAGCATATTGCTGATATTTGATAATGTTGATGTATTAATCATCTTGTCAAACAAATTGAAAATATTTAAAGCATAAAAATAAATAACATTTTAAAATATAAATAATTTTGTACATTATTAAGTTTCCCATTTTTTTTTAATGTGATTTAGGTCATTGAGAAGTTCTACAATGAGACATGGTTAGATCGATATCAGGAGATCATCCCTAAAACAACCATGACTACCCTCTGGTCTCTGTCTGTGGCCATCTTCTCTGTCGGCGGCATTGTTGGATCCTTCTCCGTTGGGCTGTTTGTCAACCGTTTTGGAAGGTGAAGTACTGTTGTAACCATTAAAATTATTTAAGGATTAATTGGATAAGTAAATGTTTGATGATAAAACTCTATTTTTCTAATTTCAGGAGGAACTCCATGCTCATGGCTAATGTCCTGGCTTTCATCTCTGCAGCACTGATGGGCTTCTCTAAGATTGCTGCGTCCTGGGAGATGCTCATTATTGGACGGTTTGTGGTGGGCCTTTACTCTGGTCTGTCCACTGGCTTTGTGCCCATGTACGTGGGCGAGGTGTCTCCCACAGCCCTCAGAGGAGCCCTTGGCACCCTTCATCAGCTGGGCATTGTTGTTGGCATTCTCATGGCACAGGTACACATTTTGGACATCTTAATAAATCTGACATGGACATTTCTGACATTTCAGTTACCATTTTTAATTGTTTTTCTATATTTATGTTCTGTTTTGTGTATTGTAGATCTTTGGTATGGATGTTATCATGGGTAACGACACCATGTGGCCGTTCCTCCTGTGCTTTACCTTCATCCCAGCCGTGCTGCAGTGCTGTTTACTGCCCTTTTGCCCCGAGAGCCCTCGATTTCTGCTCATCATCCGCAATGAGGAAAACAAAGCCAAATCAGGTGAGCATGGACCCACATCACCTAAACATTCACATGTATGCAACAAAGGATACAGCAGAGTACTTTCATTAGTGTAAACAAATGTTTTGATGTGCATTTAGTGCTTAAAAAGCTGCGCGGGACGTCAGATGTGGCCGCAGACATGCAGGAGATGAAGGAGGAGAGCAGACAGATGATGAGAGAGAAGAAAGTGACCATTCCTGAACTGTTCCGCTCTCCTCTCTACCGACAGCCCATGATTATATGCATCATGTTGCAGCTGTCCCAGCAGCTGTCTGGAATCAATGCTGTGAGTACCTGTGTGCACACACACTTACTAGTTCAATGAAGGCAACCTAATCTTAATCCAAACCCACATCTAATGTGTGTTATTGTGGTTGTGTAGGTGTTCTACTACTCTACAAAGATCTTTCAGAAGGCCGGTGTGGAGCAGCCGGTTTATGCTACTATCGGAGCAGGAGTCGTCAACACAGCTTTCACTGTAGTGTCGGTGAGTATCATGATCAACAGAATTATTGCTGTTACTGTAATATTTTTGTAATGTATTTTTAAAAATATATACTTTTAAAAATACTATATATATATATATATATATATATATATATATATTTATTATTCATGTAATGATTATTTTCTATATTTAATCAGTAATAATTTTTTTTAACCAATATTGTGATTGCGATTTAATATGCGATTACTTTTTTAATTCTTTATTTTCTGCATTGTTCGACAAAGACAAGCAATAAATCATTGTATAGTAGGGATGGGAATCTTTAGACACCTCATGATCTGCTTTTTTTGGTAATTAATATTATTAATAACAGTTAAAAACTTTTTTTGTGTAATTATAGATATTTTTGAAAATAATTGTTAAACAACACGTTAAGAATTTTAAATGGGTGATTTATATGAATATAGCTTCAAAATATAAAAGCTAGTAAATAAAGAGGAGCTAAAAAAAAACATTACAAGCAATAAACAATTAAAAATCGCGTTTACGGTAATCATATGGCGATATTGCAAATGCAGGTAATCGTTCAGCCCTAAATATATATATATATATATATATATAAAATAAAAAAATCAATACATGAATTATATATATACCGGTACTATATTTATAAAACATGTATAATAATTAAGATTTATTTATGAGTATTATTATTATTTTTATTATTTTTATTAAATATTTTTTATTATTATTATTATTATTATTTTCCTTAAAATTCACTCATGCACAAATTTTTGGTGCAAATTTTGCATGACTATTTTAGATATTTAATTTATTTAATATATACTATATAAAATACCTTCTGATATTATGATAGTTATATGAAATAATTTATTTTACTTATTACACTCATTTATGTCCTTTTAAAATTCTAACTCTTTTTTTAATTGTTATTTGCTGATGCTGTTAATCATAAAAATGACCAAACAATAATCAGCTGTATATTGTGTATACAAGAGAAAGTGAGTATAATATTAATATGATTTGTTATCCTCGCGCAGCTGTTTGTGGTCGAGCGAGCGGGCCGCAGGTCCCTGCACCTCTTGGGACTGCTGGGAATGGCTGGATCTGCTGTATTGATGACCATTGCTCTTGCCTTGCTGGTATGCACATAATATATATTTACATAAATGGCCAAGTGTCAGTTTCACATAGTCATCGTTGTGGTCCAAAGCTTTACAATATATTTGATCTGGTGGCTTTGTTGCCCATCTCTCTAACAGGAAAATGTTCCCTGGATGTCATACATAAGCATCGTGGCTATCTTTGGGTTTGTGGCCTTCTTTGAGATTGGACCCGGCCCCATCCCATGGTTCATTGTGGCTGAACTGTTCAGTCAAGGCCCAAGACCTTCGGCTTTTGCTGTCGCTGGACTCTGCAACTGGACCGCAAACTTTATCGTGGGCATGTGCTTTCAGTATGTCGAGGTGAGATGCCTGTGGGAATTATAAGATTATATTGGCACATTTACGTTGGCTGACTTTTCTCTCTCTTTGTCTTCTACTTGAACAGGAGCTCTGTGGGCCGTACGTGTTTATCATCTTCACCATATTTTTACTCGGCTTCTTCGTCTTCACCTACTTCAAAGTCCCAGAGACCAAGGGCCGGACGTTCGATGAAATCTCGGCCGGTTTCCGTCAGGCAGCATCAGCTGCTGAGAAGCACTCGCCTGAAGAGCTCAACAGCCTGGGGGCCGACTCTCAGCTCTAAACCCCTCTGACCCCGCTTTCCTCATCTGGTCACACTTCTGCACGAAACTACTGAGGAGAAGGGGTCACCGGGCTGTCAATCAAACATTTCCCCCTTCCCACGACTGCACTCAGCTCTTAGTCCCCCCCACTCCCTGATAACCGTGAGACATCTGGGAATGAGGCATGGGGTTTTAAAGGCAGGAAGTAAGAGAAGTTCTCATACTCTTATCAGAAAGATCATCGTTTTAAGACCAGTTTGAGGTGTCATATTTGCTAGTCTTCTGGCTAGTTTTGCTAGGTTTTATGTTTTTTAAAACTATCTTAACTGTTACTTCTGCTCTGCTATGAGTGAAAACCAGACGGCGGTCTCCTGGTCATTCCTGACCTAGACTCTACGCCGTTGATGTCAGAAATCAACAGGCCAAATGTGACTTCTGTACGGTGACTGACAATTTAATACTGTATTCCATGTTACTGTATTACTATTATGAAAGTCTTGTGGCTTTAGCAAACCAGAGTTAGAGAGTTAGCATCAGCTTGGCCTTGGCTAGCAGTCGAAACAATTTAACATACCCCCCAAAAAACCTATTTAAATAATAGGATCAAATATATATATATATAAAACTATATATTTGATTGGTGTAACGATACACATATTCATATGGAATCGTTCGGTACGAGGCTTTCGGTTTTCGGTACACATTTTCAAACTGAACGGTTCTTTGGACCATTTTTCCTGCCGACCAAAATTTTGTTATTTCAAATGTTGGCGCGTGGCAAGTTCACTCGAGATGCTGGCGTCACCACAACATTGCCCAACATCAAATGGCAAATGTAATGTAAGCGTAACGAAGCTGAACTACTCGTAACTATGTGGTTGACGGACCGTTTATCAGTTTGGACTAATGCAGCGCGAGCCGATCTTAAAGTCCCTGTGAACCGGAAGTTGCAAACGATTTTTCTCCAGTGCTGTGACGTATTTCCAAGGGAAACGGAATATTGAACAGAGGGCAGGGTTTTACTCTAGCGCTCCTCCTCTCCATCTCTCGCTCATAGCAAACTAACGGTTTGAGGGGAGTGGTTAAGCGTTTCCCCACCCAAACTGTGAAACCTACGTCATCAGAAAAAGAAACCGTTCCAGACCGGAAGTAACTTTTCAGATTTTGATTAAAGATTACTAAGGTAAAACATTTTTTTTAATATATATTCACTTGCACGGATTAATTGTTCACCACAAGACTAGTAATATGCGCTAACAAAGTAAATAGGTTCAATTTTGATTTCACGGGGACTTTAATCATCAGCACTGTTACTACACAGCCAAATTGAATTTGCCACTGAAGTAATAACATCGCTGTGAGATCTAGTGAGAAACATTCACATTTCTTCATTATCAACGGATCAAACCGCGCTGACGTGGAAACCAGGAAGAAACTTTGTGTCATGAATGAACTATTTAGTGTCCACAGATCAGCAACATCACCATGGATTTACTGTATAACACTACTAGCTGTAAGTTTGGCAGGAATAGTAGGCTATAACGCTTTCAAGTAACATCACGTCGGTTTTATTTTGACATTATGAATACAATTGCTGCCCTCAAATGTTAATCTGAACTAAAATAAACCTTTCTTTATAACTACTACAATTTAACATTTCAATTTGTCCAAGGAGCTGTTTTTGTTTTATTTTCATTGCTCATTAGTGTTAGTTTTTATAAAAATATAATTTAAAAAAATTCAATCAAGGAAATTTCTCTGGCATTTCTTTCTTTTTGCTGTATCGAAAACGTACTGAGCCGTGACACAAGTGTATCGTATTGAACCGAACCGCCAATTTTGTGAACCGTTACACCCCTAATATATATATATAAATATAGCTTGTTAAATAGTTTTGACTCCTAACCAATGCTAAGCTCTCTCTCTCTCTCTCTCTCTATAATTTCTTTTTATTTAACATCGAAAATAAACAACAAATATTCTAGGGTTCTTTTTTAGTTACATTTTATCAACGTCACCAATGAAACAATATGACATCATGTAAATTTAATGTTAAAACTCTTTTGCTCAGCAAGCTTATTTTAACACATTACAGAGTATTTTATCCCTATTCTTACTTTTAAGATGCATCACATCATTTAAATGTATTTATATTTTTATAATGAATTCACTTGGTTTCTCTAGGAATAGTTCTAATATCACTCCCAAGAGGAGAGAACCAGAACATTTCCTAAATCGTTTCTTTTTGTTACGTCACCAAATATCACACCTACCCAACTTTTTAATAAAAAGACAGTCACTTTATAATGCATAAAGAGATGTACTCTTTACTGAAAGTATTAGCATCAGCACAAGTGAATGTTGATCATAACATACAGCATACACTCCCACGTTCATAATGTCCCAGTTCAGTCGCACGTCAGTAATGGTTTAGACGGCAATAGTTGAAATGCGTTTTGCACAGTCGACACCCCTCAGCCGAGGGAGAAGTTGGGAAACACGGAGAGAGACCAAAATGCACTGTGACTCGTGGCATGATCGGTGTGCACCGCTCTCTGAGCTGGGAACCACACCATTGATGATGCTGTGTGAAACGGCATGCCTGGCTCCAACGTGCCTTGTCAAGTTTTTTTAGACTTCTAGTTTTCCATTTTGTCGTCTTCTTTCTTTTTTAATTTGTTTTAAACCTAGAATGTTCACCCTTGATAATTCATCCATAAGTATTTGTGATACACTGAACTTGTGGGAACGTATATACTGTAATCTGCTGTTTTTAAACACTCCAGAATATGCCTGATTTTCTGACTTTTATTAGTTTTTGTTTGTAGGTGAAATGGGTTTTAAGTCATCTATCTTCTTAGACATAAAATTCATGTAAATAAGGTTTTTTTTGTTTGTTTGTTTCACTTTGAGTGGAGTTTGAGTGTGTGCATGTGATATCTGACCAATTGGTCAGATACAAGAGGTTTAAAAATGAATTTCTTTGTGTTCTAATGCCAGCATCCAGAAAATATATTCACCCGCACAGCATTCCATATGAAATCATCTTGAACGTCTGTGACGTTTTGTACACGAGTGTGTTTTGTGGATCACATGCATGTCTCGCTGAAATCAATGATGTGTGTTGTTTTGAATACTCAGAGAAACAAATCTAAACAAATTTTTTAGCCTATTTTGTGATTTCCAAATGTAACTGTAAATAATGATTGTAAAAATAGAATTTGGTTTATTTTATGTTTAAGACCTTGTAGTTTTAATAGCTGTACATGTAACATTTTCATCTGTCGTTTTTCCTGTTTTTGTAACGTAGAATTTCTTCTCTGTAATGCACTATCATGGTAGTACTGTAAGACAAAAACATCTTACTTTTTACCATTCTGTATTTATTAGATCCACTTAATTTATTTAGGTGTGTTTTTTTCTTCAATTTTAACTTCTGTTGTGGAAATAAAATTGTTAGAAAAAACGGTTTTTGTATATGTGAATGTGTGTAGTTTTGCTCAGTTAACGCTTCACAAACGCACCTGATTAAACTCGTTTAAAAACTAAAACTGGCGTCATTTAGGAGAGCTCTCTAGTAGCGCCGCTTGAGCTGATTGTCTGATGATGATCACCTGTTAGAGCTGCAGACATCTGGACCCTCATGAAAAGCAAGCTAAACTATTTAATTTGTAAATCAGAACAGCAAATGAATTCCTGCAGTGTACTGTAGTTAAGCGTTGGCCTCTCAGAACAAAGCGTGTGTGAGGGTGTGGTGAAATTCTCTGGTCAGTCATGGATAAATGAAACCGGATTCCGACCATTGTTTTGGATTTGTATAGATGTGCCCACACAAGGGAATGAAGAGACAAAACAACTTATGAGAAATGTGAGTGAAATTATTACTACCATCTATTTTAGCATTAGAGATACTACTGTGTGTGTGTGTATATATATATATATACACACACACACACACACACAGTAGTGGCTAAAAGTGGTCATGTCTGCCTTTGCATCCTCATCCTTTAATTAAATATGATTAAAGCTACACTGTGTGATTTACCCCCATCCAGCGGTGAAAAGGTATATGACCATCCAGTGAATATTAGACATTCTCTGATATTAGTTTCTGTTCCTCTCAATTCCGATTTCGTTTTAACTCCTACGGTGGCCAATGTAGTCCAAGATTAACATGGCTTCCAGTTCGACCTCGTCCATGAGTGTTAACTCAAACGTAAACACGAAAGGCGAAGCTTGAATTAACGGGTTTGTCCCTCTTTGGCTAATGTACTTTCAAGATGGAGGGCCAACTGGCGACGGCATTAGAACCATAGATTAGAACCATAGAACCCCTTACCCGTATGTGTTTTCAATGGCATATTATTTACAGTCTATGCATATTATACACACTCACAAGAATACTTTATTATGCCTACTTGAACGAAGTAAATATACATTAATGAGCACATATATTTTTGAAAGAACTAAGTGTTTTTTTTTAACTAAGAGTAAACTAAAAGAGTTACACAGTGTAGCTTTAAAGTCCCTGTGAAATCAAAATTGAACCTATTTACTTTGTTAGCGCATATTACTAGTCTTGTGGTGAACAATTAATCCGTGCAAGTAAATATATATTAAAAAAATGTTTTACCTTGGTAATCTTTAATCAAAATCTGAAAAGTTACTTCCGGTCTGGAATGGTTTCTTTTTCTGATGACGTAGGTTTCACAGCTTGGGTGGGGAAACGCTTAACCACTCCCCTCGAACCGTTAGTTTGCTATGAGCGAGAGATGGAGAGGAGGAGCGCTAGAGTAAAACCCTGCCCTCTGTTCAATATTCCGTTTCACTTGGAAATACGTCACAGCACTGGAGAAAAATCTTTTGCAACTTCCGGTTCACGGGGACTTTAAAGGTTTGCTCATTTACGTAGTCGTGCTTGGAGTCAATATTTTACTTGTTATAACACAATGAAACCTGACAAATTGCGCAGACATAATTTTTGGCCAGGCTGCCATTTAAAGAAGTTATGAACATGCAAAAACAAGAGAAAACCAATATAATGTTAATAACTGATTATGTTGTAGTCATGTATGCCTTTTCCTCTGAGCTTTTTATCTTTTATGATATATACTTGTGTGTGTATGTGTTTGCATAGTAAAATAAAACCTGTAGCTCTAGAATATTTTCCTTATAGCCTATTTTGATAATTTTATCAAACTTGCAGGGTCATAAAAACAAAAAAAGTGCATTGCAGGTAGAATTTGAAGTCAAATTAAATTTAATCTAGGTCTGAAGTATGTTCCTGAATTGCCTGTGTGTAAAATCATGCAAATGATTTGGCTGATGTTTTATGAATAATGAAACGAAGCATGAAAGATCAGTGCAGTACTACACATGCAGATGAGCATGAAAATGTCTCATGTGCACAACTCGAAATCATGCATTTGCATTCACACCATATTGTGTACCATCTCAAATTTATTTAAAAAAACAACAACATTTTTTTTACAAAATAATATCAAATAATGTTACAGAAACTTCATGTAAACTTTGCCAAATTAACATCAGAGCTCTATTAAGCTTGATGAGAAATGTAGAAGGATGCCAAAATAAAATACTAATAAATCAAATAAAACGATGCACATATATACCTTCAAGGAGTTAAGTAAGCATTCGAGAACAAGCATTCGAGATCAAGCACATATATACACAGAGGACAAGAGTGTGACCTTCAAGAGCACTTTGGTTTGAAAACCCAAAACCTGAGTTTGACTCCACACCTCCCCCGTCCCGCAGAGGAGACGTACACCGTACACACGTGTACTCGTCACCAGGGCGGAAAACAACAGTCTCAGAGTGCAATCCCAACCGCTGCTCAAAGCAAACAGCGTCGATCCATAAGGACGTACCCAAACAATCAACTATTACGAGCTTCTCAAGAGGTATATGGTTCTACAATGACGTGAATAAACATTACAAAACACAATAGTGAGGTTAAAACAAATGTAAAAGGCAGAGCAAAACAACACAAATGCTGCTTTATAGTAATTCTAGCTAAGCATGACACTTTTTGTCCTTCATCCGGCTTTATAAATCATATTTACTGTTGCACAGAACTTAAAGGGATAGTTCACCCAAAAAGAAAACTTGCGTCATCATTTACTCAAGTTGTTCCAAGTTTCTTTCTTCTGTTGAACAATACATTTTTATAAAAATGTATTGGCTGTTGATCCTCATGGTATTTTCTTTCCATTTTTTTCAAAATCTTAAAGGTTTGGAACAACTTGAGGATGAGTGAATTTTAATTTTTGGGTGAACTATCCATTTAAGCCTGGCCCTCTTGCATAAAATAAATAAATAAATCACTAAAAAACTAAAATCTCCTATCAGCACTTGCCTGAAAATGAATGTTGGAGGAATGCAAACTGAATATTTATTAAGAGGGCGAACAATCTTCATTCTAATATCGGTCGAACGTGTGCGCTTTTTTGGTATTTGTACATTAGGAAGCTGTCTGATTCTTTCTCTAAGAGTCCAGTGCATTTGAGCTTTTTTTTTGCATAACGTAAACCAAGAGTGAATGATCTTTCAGAGTGAAGGTTCTCCGTGAACCCTGAAGCGATACACACATGTGTATTCCAGGTGACCCCAGTTGCTTAAGACTCTCAGCTCTGCCATGCTGTAGTTCTCTGAGGCTTCCTACAGGACACAAAACAGGAACAATTTTAGGATGAATTCACAAAAATGTATCTAGGTCACACTTACAGAATGACTAATAGACATATTAAAGGGATAGTTCACTTTGAAATTAATTTTTGATATGTTTTAGCTTACCTCAAGGGCATCCAAGATGTAGGTGTCTTTGTTTCCACAGTATTTTCAATTTTGATTATCAGTCATATAATGGAGGTCTATGGTCACCACCTCAAAGAGCATGCACAGAGAAGTCCAAATGAAACATGATTTAATGACTCGTAAATGTAAGTACACATTGATGGCCTAAGACACGAAACGAGCGGTTTGTGTGAGAAAGCGAACAGTATTTATATCGTTTTTACCTCTTGTAACCACAGTCACGTCCAAGTGATCTGAGGGCGCGGGCGCTTCTATCTGCGTCAAATACGCAGACGAACATAAAAACTGATTGTTTTCTTGATCGGTGTCTTAGGCCATCAATGTGTACTTACATTTATGAGTCATTAAATTATGTTTAATTTGGACTTCTCTGTGCATGCTTTTTGAGGTGGTGACCATAGACCTGCATTATATGACATACAAGAACGGTTTGACCTAAAAATATCAAAATTGAAAATACTGTGGAAGCAAAGACACTTACATCTTGGATGCCCTTGAGGTAAGCTAAAACATATCAAAAATTAATTTCAAAGTGAACTATTCCTTTAAGACTATTTTTAACTCACCGGAAGCTTGAAAGTCTGAATGGGTTCTCCGTCCTGGTCGTACATGAATGTCCCTAGCAACTTTCCCACTTCAGTCTCATTAGACATACCCTGAACACAGGACAGGCAAGGAATCTCAATGCGGTTGTTTTATCATTTTTATGAAGACGAAGAAAAAAGTTGGAATATCAACTCACGTAGACAGCGAAGTCCTTCGGCGCGCTGTCAATGCGTCCCGTCGGCGAGAGCTCTTTGGGAAGGTGTTCGAGTGTGACGTGAGTGATTCTTACTGTGTAAGATAGTGCGATCACCAAGAAACCCTGGGAGCCTCGGAACGCCCAACACTTCCCGGGATACAGCTCCGGCTACAACACACACACACACTGATAGTCAGATGTGTTACACTGAAGGTGGCCGGTGTGATTTGAGAGCGTGTGGGTTACCTGTATAACAGTACGAGGGCTTTCTGAATGATACCAGAGAGGAATGCCGAATAAACTCAGACACGCAGATCGGGTCTTATATGTCTCAGAGCAACGAGTGTTTAACACACTGGCACCTACACAAACACACACAGTGAGACTTGTACAATAAAGATTTTTGAATGTGTATGGAAGAATTATGCTCACAAAGGATGCATTTGTTTAATCAAAAATACAGTAAAACTAATGTTGGGAATTATTATTACACTTTAAAATAACATGATCCTTCAGAAATCAGTCTAATATGCTGCTTAAAGAAACATTTATCATTATTATCAATGTTGAAAACAGTTGTGCTGCTTAATATTTGTGGAAATTATTTTTCAGGATTCTTTGATGAATAGAAAGTTTAAAAGAACAGCATTTATATATAAAAGTATGATGTATATAAATGTAAATCATGTTTTTATGTAATGGTTCTGGAAATTGATCTTTGCCGGCACAGAAATAAATTACATTTTGAAATATATTAAAATGGAAAAGTTATTTTCAATTTTGACAATACTTCACAATATTGCTTTTTTTTTTTTTATTAAATGAAATGCAGCCTTGGTGATCTTAAGGGATTTCTTTCATAAACATACTTTAAAATGCAACTTATAGGCATTCAGGTTGACTACCTACTATATATATCAAAAAAAGTATCATTTGAAAGTATAATATAGTCAATGAACAAGTTTTCATGCAGGAAATTTGTACCTGAAGATTCCAAGGCATAGTCAGCCAATCCAATCCCATCTGCCCTGTACAGACCAATTGCCCTCTGGACGATTTCTTTCACATCCTGTTATGCATTAAAAAAAAAACACCCATTAAAAGAAATCATGATCCTCATGTAAACTTCAGACTGCCCTAAAAACGTCTGAATTTGTTCTCTCTCCGACACACACTTGTATCGTGGCGGCTCCGGCTCCTTCCTGGTGCAGCGTCTCTCCCACAGTCCTCCAGACGTCTCTGCCGCTCTCTTTCTCATGCACTAGTTTATCTAGTATGCGTTTCTCCAGATCCTCTAGCGCCCTCTGCAGCTCAGGCCGGAGCACTATAGTTGAGTCCAGTGAGCTTGGATCTTTCAGGTTTGTTATTAGCCAATCGGATAGCTCTGCTCTCAGCTGCAGAAGAAAGGACATGAAGGAAGAATTGATCGTTAAGTAATTGCACTTTGCAACCCCGTCACAGGCAAATCTCTGCGCCGAATTCAAAAGAGCTAAAAGCATGTGTCCTTACGTTGGTGTTGAGAGTGTCATGAGCATCAACTCTTTCCTTGAGAAGGTTCTGAGCTGAATGAAGACTTGAGAGACTGGACTTCAGCTCAGAAATCCGCTGCCCGCGCTCAGACTCGACACTAGGGAACATTCAACATATGCCGTCACTGGATCAAATAATAATGATGCAACACACACAAGACTAAACATAAAAAAAGTCTAGAAAAGACACTGACTTCATCATCTGCTTATTCATAGACCTCAGATCCGTTTCCAGCATCTAGGAGACAACACAAACACACAAATTAGGTGGATGACATCATTTCCTGTTTTGTGCTTTGTTGCTATGACAAAAGAAACAGACGAGGTGGAAAGGAAGATGGATGACGTTTCACAGCGAGTGGAAATGATAAAAGAAAATGTGAAAGTTTCGTTTCCTCACCTCAGATTTGACCTTCTGTTTTGCGCTCTCCATCTTCAGTAGTTCGATGTCTCTCTGAGATCACAGATGGTCAAAGAGAAAGAAATTGGGACCGATATTTTGTTTCAACCTTCATTTCTGTCACCTGATGCATTTTTGTCTAGTCTATGTGCTGGATGTTTTTTGCAGGGCTGCTTTATAACTCATATACAGTAGCTGAACTGAACTTATTTTATAAATTTTGAACTTGACAGTCCAATACTGGTTAGGGTTACTATTGCCTTGATTTGCCTCTATAAAGCTGCTTTCAAATAATCTGTATTATATAATAAGGTGACTTGACACTTTCTTTTTAACAGACTTGATGATTGTGATGATTAGAGTTTAATTACCATCAGGTTCTCCTCCCTTTCGTGCAAGCTGGCGATCTCATCCTTCAAGTTAGACAGGCTGGCATGTTGGAGTTGGTCCTGAAAGAGCAACAATTGCATTTACTAAAATAATAATACATTTAAGAGAAACATGGAATAACTGAGCATTATGAAACAGGAGCTATTTGAGGGCTTCTTCTCACATCAAACGTTGCTTTCACAGGTCTGTCTGTGTGTTTGACAGATGAAGTCCTGGAAACAACCACATGAGCGGGAGAGCGAGAAGCAAACGGGAACCAGTACCATATTCCTGCAATAGGTAAATGCAAATTAATGTTTCTTGATAACTCTATGAGTAATTAAATTACTAAGTATTTTGAACAGTCTTGAAGGTTCTTGGGTTATCATTTTTGATATTTAAAAAAAAAACTCCATCAGCTGTCTCACCAAAAATGAGAAAGATGAGAAGGAGAACCAGTAGGATAGCTTTTCTCATATCTGCTGTGCATCTACAGAGAAATAATGGAAAAATAAATGTTCTTAAATGTTTATTTGTAGTATAAAGAAAGAGCAAGCCATTAAAAGGTTTTAGAGCTGAGCGTACCTAGAAACAAATTATTTCACTGCATTCATTTATGTTATTAAACATTTCTAGGCCTGGAAATCCCAGGCAAGTTACAGAGAGTTATTGCATAACTATCATACAGTACATGTTCTTAATGTAATAATGACACACACACACACACACACACACACACACACACACACACACACACACACACACACACACACACACACACACACACAGCACTGTACCTGCTGAGCAGAAACACATTGATCAGAGACAGTCGTGAGGTGAGGCTGTACCACGCAGTGCCCAGCCACCAGTAGAGCATAACCAGAGCCTGAGCTGCAACACACACACACACACACACACACACACATGAGCGCATGACTACTGCAGGAGAAAAAGAGTGATTGTTCATGTTAGAGGGTTTAAACATGCAGTACCTGGAGAGTGAAACACGTCACGAATGCCAAAGCCCGGTTCAGCTCCAGATGGGGTCAAACCTAGAGAAAAGGAAAATTAAATTGTCAAAATGTCTACAACACTTTCTACAAATTCAAAAAAGGACCAGCATTTATTTTTCGTTTATAAAATGATCAATGTACACTTACCAGGGTTTGAATTTATGGGTTGATCATAATGCTCCTCAGCAGAGGAATATCCAGAGGAGAATCCAGCAACAGGCATGCCTGAAACACAGAGACAGTAAAAAAATAATAAAATAAAATAAATAAATAAATAAATAAATATATATATATATATATATATATATATATAATTCTACTTATTTTATATATCATCATTATTTATTAATATTAGATTATTCATAGTAAATTAAAATACATGTTAGTAGATTTTACATGTATTCATTTACATATACTGTGTGTGTACATATATATATATATATAGTTAAATATATATATTAATTTTGGCCATATATAAAAATGGCCAAAATTAATAGAACGGTAAGATTTTTAAATGTTTTAAAGAAGTCACTTCTGCTCAACAAGGCTTAATTTATTTGGTCCATAATACAGGAAAACAGTAATATTGTGAAATAATTTTACAATTTATAATAACTGTTTTCTATTTGAATAAATTTTAAAATGCTATTTATTTCTGTGTTGGTAAAGCTGAATTTTCAGCATCATTACTCCAGTCTTCAGTGTCACATGATCCTTTAGAAATCATATGATGATATGATGATTATATGATGCTAATATGATGATTTGATGCTCAAGAATTTGACATTTGACATAAGACATTTATTATTATTATCAATGTTGAAAACAGTTGTGTAAAATTGAGGATTTGAGGATTATTTGATTAATAGAAAGTTCAAAAGAACAGCATTTATCTGAAATGGAAAGCTTTGGTAACATTATCACTACCGTTCAAAAGTTTAGGGTCAGAGTTTTTTTTTTTGTTTTTTGTTTTTTTGGAAAGAAATTAATAATTTTATTCAGCAAGGATGCATTAAATTGTTCAAAAGATAAAGTATAGACATTTATTATGTTGCAAAAGCTTTCTATTATCTAAGTCTGTCTGCTTAATATCTGCTAAATTTATATTAATTATAATCCAACAGATATTCAACAGTACACTGTCTGATGGATTATAAATAATATAGAGTTAGCAGAAAAGTATCTTTGCAAGTACTCAATTTATTTTAACCCTACCAGTCTACTAATACTCTACAAACACTCAAATGAGAGTTAGTAGACATATAGGTGCAACGTTACTTACAGTCAACAGAATATTTTAAAGGGACCTTCAAAATAAAGTGAAAGATATATATATATATATATATATATATATATGAAGAGTTCAGATGCAAAAGCCTCTAAGTGCCATTTGAAATTTTCTTCTAGAATGATCATTTTTATCAAGCTTGTATATTTAAGTTCAGTGATTTCACTTAAATGGCAATGATAATTACCTATTAATTGTTATTCAAGTGAAATTACTGAACTTAAATATACAAGTTTGATAAAAATCATCATTAAAGAAGAAAATTTCAAATGGCATTTAGAGGCTTTTGCATCTGAACTCTTCATATACACACACACACATGCAATTGCACAACGAACATGCTTGAGCTTCTGTTTGACATACACACACACACATACTGTATAAATATATATTTATATACTGTGTGTGTGTGAGTAAAAACTAACCATTTTTATTTCCAGTGGCAGTGAGGTCACTGCGTTGCCCGGTCTGTATCGGAGTCACACTGCTCGCGCGACTGGAATTACGGGAAACACTCCCTGTGCTCTTGCGACCGGTCCTCTTCTTGAAGATCCTGCAGGAAAGCATCTGTCTCAGGTTCACTGCCATTAATGCACATGCAAACTATGTATCTGATGTACTGAGAGCTCCAACACATACAAACACACCTGGTTGGGCTCTCTTTGTAAGAGACATGGCCAGTGGTTTCAGTGGAGCTGGTGCTGGCAGCGTCATCATCAGGAAAGGTCGTCCCTTTGGAACCTAACCTTGTGCTTCGCCTTGACATCACTCACTGTAGAACACATATAGATTGTGTAAAAAGTGCTTTAACTTATAAGTGGTTATTGATAACTTAAACATCACTAAGAGTTTTAGTACTCCTGCTCATATTTAGGTCCCCATAGTGTCCCCTCTTTATTATTACATTTACTCATTAGCAAACACTCATGACTCATGCGAATCAGATGACCAAAATAAAAAACACCACAATAAACGTGACATTTAATATTCCACAGCTTCTCGCAGTGCGATACTGATCTTTGCGTAATTTCTAATCTCAAACGGCAGGCTTGTCTCGTGCAGGGTGACGGAGCTTTTAGCAGCAGATTACCTGAAGGAGAACACGTGGAGCAAACCACAGACCTCCACTTCCCCTTTAGTTAGTTATATTAAGTCCCTTTAGTAAGATAATTATGGTTAATCTCAACAACAGATTGCATTTTACAATTGAATTAGCTAGGAATCCAGTTCTGTGCGAATGGAGAATGGAGGTGCTCCTGTTCTTTTAATACAGCGGTAGCATTTATGATTTGTAATGAAAGCACCTATTCTTTTTCCCCCTACAAATCCTTAATCCTGATTCAACTAATAATCTCAAGAAGCATTAAAAACATGCCTGCACACTTACAAACTACTCAATGGACAATGTTGGAGGAAAACACAAAGGTGAGACAAGATGCAAAGTACTGTATAACCGAGTTTATACAGCTATCCGGATATATCAGTATCTGTCAACCTATACATTTTAAAAGAGAAATAGGTGCTTTTAAGTCAAGCAAAATAGAAACGATTCATTAGAGCTTAAGTAAATAGCTCTTCAGGCTGTTTGATGCAACACTTCCAGTGCTTTAAAACTAAATCCTCGTCTTTAGCTAATAATCCCTCTAATGGCTATTTTAAACTGACAGTGTTGTTTCACAGCTCTGCTGCTTTCATTGAGTTCATCATTCTCCCTTTTGTTTTGTAACACATGATTAACATGTTTTTTTTTTGTAAACTGTTGGACCTGTGAATCTATTTTCACTCTCCTCTCTTCATCCAATACATGCATTAAAAAAAAACAAACAAAAAAAAACTTACGTATACATACTAGGTTAAAGGTAAAAGTAAAGTATGGCCAACAACAAATAGTATATTATACATATATATTAACCGGAGTATCAATGCAAATACAAACAATCCGTTATAGCCTAAACTGTGGTAAAGAGGCAAAGTAAGTTTCCTTTAACTTGCTTTGCAAAAGTTTGGCGGTTCTCTTGATATTAGCGCCAGTTTTAACCACAAAGGAAGGTTTCTTTATAAAACGAGGTCAGATCTGTTTCACTTCCTTGACGTGGATGCAAATTAAATGTTTTCTGGGACGGAATAGCATTCTTTGATGAATAACAACAGACTTCCCAAATGAGAATACAACTGCTACACATTACGTTGCTATACAGCTTTGCATGAAAATACGTGTATTTAGTATATAGTTGTAGCACTATATTTGTAGTACATATATTTGTAGCGCGTGTAATTAGTTTGTAGCACATTTCTTTGAAATGCTCCATCAGCATCATTTCTACAGCTCGTGTGCCACGACTAGCCCCATAATAGCACGCAACTAGACGATGCTTTTGAAAATGTAAGCTAGCGTTCAGTTCATACACACTCTTACCTTATAAGTGGGTCTTCAGGAAGACATGCAGCCTGTCAAAACCTGTCAAAGTGCGAACCGCTCATCCGAAAAGGCTCCGCAATAACGGAATAGCGAAAGATACGTCGTATAACTTACTCGGAATATACGGTATACTCGCTTCAACTGTGTGGCTTATAACGGTTTCGAAAGCGATACGACAAGATGCTATGAGGACGGAAGAGCTCTTCTTATCAGGAAGGGTCTTTTGACAGTTGTCAGCGCGGCGGCTCCACCTCTCGATGTCGTTTCGGGTTGTTTATAGAAAGATGAGGTAGACAGTCGGCGACGGCTAGTGTTACTGTCCTGCCACTGTGCGCCGCCTGCCGGTGGACTTACGTTAGTTACGCAGGAAATACAGCCCGTCGAACGAGAGCTTTAGTGTTTCACGCCCATAATACGCACAATTCACAGCTTATTCATTTTACATAACTTCTTTGTTTGTTCAAATTGCTGATTTAATAACTTTTATGTTGAAGTTAAACTTACCTTTACTTGAGTAATTACTTATCACTTAATAAT